TCATAAAATGCCCTGCAAGACAAACAGAATGATCCACACTGCATTATCACGTTCCCATCAATCACCTGACAACAGGATGAAATGAGAATCTCATCCGGGAAATAATAAAAAATATGTTGGTTTACAAACCAGAAGAAGAGTTCACACTGGTGATTGAAAGAGAGAGGAAGAGGGGATGTAAGGAGGAAGGACAGCTGATTTTGATTACACTTATTATTACGCTCATTACGCTACGGTAAAAACATATCCGACATTATTCCTAATTTTATTCATGACTTAATACATAGAGGGGATCTTTAAGGGCAAGTTACCTTTAAGTAGTCTCTACCCTGCTGTGGATGGGTTACATTCCAGTTATTTGAAAGCTCCGTGCATCTCATAGAGACGGTGAAGGGTCCCTTTAGCTGTGATGCATGAGAAGATGTTGGTATTTGACGATAAGAACAGGCTGTTCAGTAGGAGTCAGTATGTGGTTGGCTTAGCTTAGCATACAGACTGGAAGCAGGGGGAAACAGCTAGCCTTGCTCTTTGAATAGAAAACAAATCCATCCATCCAGGGCTTTTTGTGCAGCCTCTCTGTTCCAAACTTCTGCATGTACGAGGTTTGCAGATTAACCATGGGGAAATATAAAACCAGAACAAAAGTGAAAATGACAGCACGGCCGGATTAACCCACAACAAGACCTGTAAGAGGGCGTAAAGAATGAGCTGTAAATGAGTGTTCACAGCTCAGGTTTGTGTGTGTCAGATAGTTTGTGGTCAAAAACAACTTATGTAGCAACATATAAGTATAATAAAAAGTAAAAAAGTGAATCCCCGGTAGGGAGGCGGTCGGTTCCACCTCATTCACCAGTAACAACGGATTATATATAAATCCCAGTTGTCTCCGTTGATGAAACTAACCTGTGTAAAATGGTCACTGCGGAGGCAGGTGTTGGTGGTGATCCTCACCTTTCCATCAACGTAGCTGTTCACAAAATCAAAATTAAACATTTCTGAATTTGCTTTACATGGAAATTAGATTGAACACAAGCCCCCTCAATAAGAAATGGCCTTAAGATTAATTAAAAACGTAGAAGCTGCCTTATCACTTCAGTTTTTAATATTCTTCTGTCCTGCACAAAATATGGTGCTGTAGGTATCCCTCTAGTGTTATTAATAGACCTCCTGCCACTGAGGTTAGGTGACAAAGACTAAAGAGCAAGAGAGTCCATATTTGAATGTGGTGGGATGGATGGATGGATCAAACAAAAACTTACTTTAACCCAGGAGACTGCTGTTTGTGTCCTGTGTGAAACCAGAAGTAAAGAAGTAACATCAGGTATTTAACCTAACTTACAACTTTTTCCTTAACCTAACCAAACTGTGACTGCTTCACAGCGTTATTTTACACAGCTTTATTTTGAAAGTGCAAGCATGGTTCCATATTTACTGTTGCTTACTTTTTATGTTATTATCTTCGCTGCAGCGTCATGTTTTGAAGTGACCATGCTTCAGTATTTGATGAGCTGCGAGTGAGCGTTGCAACAGCTAATGTTGAATTAAATGCATTATATTTATCTGTTCATTGACAGAATGTGTCATTTGCGTCAGTTTCATCAACTGAAAAAGAAAGCTGAAAAACCTTGAATTCTTTTTTTACAGATACTTTTCGTCTCATTGTTAATGTAAAATGAGTCGTTTGAACTAAAAGCAGCCCTGTTGGGTCACAGTGTTCCTCTTAAAGAGGTGATTAGTGTTGCTATAATTGTTGTGTCCTGATCTGGTCTTCCCCTGTGTCTAAACACAGGATCTAGTTCTGTAATGAGGCCTCAGGTCAGTAAACCTTGGCTTGGATCCCTCTCTTCAGTTAGAGATCAAGATGGATTCAGGAAGTGTGATCCTTGTGTTTCCTGATCCTATTGACCGAAGCGATGATCAGGTCATCAGGGACGGGTTTGCTTTTGGGCCAAACGTACATTATTAATGTCTCCAGGGTCAAAATATAACCTGGAGAAGCAGCATTCAGTTTTTGTTCCTACAACAAACTCCAAGAAGTCTGCTTCGACTCTGTTCCTTTAAAGCAGTGGTTCCCAACCTTCCTCCTGAAGGGAACCCTTTTCCCTGTTGAGTAAACTGACGACCCCTGACTTAGTGACATATTAATTTATATTTAATTAAAACAATAAGAGTAGAGAACAACTGATAAACTGTACAATGAACCCAAATAATGAACACAATTACAGGAAGTTTGAGTTTTCCTGATATTTTTAGGAGCTTTTTTTTTATCATTTTCAACAATCAAACAAAAGGCTTCTTTTTTTGACAAATTCAGTGTTTTCTTCCCCCTGACACTAGCACAATCAAAGCTCTTTCAAATAATAATAATATTGTTAAATAATAGTCTAAACTTTTAGTTTTCTTCATAGAAATGAACCAAATGCTGAAATATAGGCCTACTGTGTGTATTCTGTAAGTTTTGTGTGCAAATATTTGAGCAGATTTTGTAGGTCGGAGTTAAACCGGTCTTAGTCAGCGGGTCAGCGATGGTTGGAGGTACTGGGTGCTGTGGCGTCTGATGGCTGATGGTACAAACGAGCCTCCAAACCGCTGTGAGAGGATGAGAGGTGTTGTCCTAATGACTTTCAGCTTCCCCTTTCATCCTCTTCTCAGTCACAGCCTCAACACTGTCCAGTTCCATCCCCACCGAGCTGGTCTTCTTCAACAGCTTGCTCAGTTTGTTGGCAGCCCTAGTCCCGATGCCCCCAGCACACCACAGCAAAGAAGTGGCTTCTCCAGGTGGGTGTAAGCTCTGTGAAGCAGGTAGATGGGATGTGGAGGAGGAGGGTGGGGTAGCCAAGGTGTGAATGGGGGTACCCGAGCAGGTGGAGGGGGTTTGTGAGTCAAACCTGTTGAAAAACAGGTTTAACTTGTTGGCACGTCCCTTTGTCCCCTCCACTGAACCTACTGACCTTTTCCTGCCAGTAATGCTCCACTGCACCATTCGTTGTCCAACCTACACGAGTGATGTGGAAACTTCCAGCCTGCTGTGCACATACGCTTGTGTCCATCAGTTACACTGAATAAAATATATTTGCCTGTTCAAAGATTCTGTTTTGTTCTATAATAAGTAGTCTATTGGGTTTTTTTTGCTGAAAATGTCTTCAAAAGTCCCTCAAGTGGATCTGATAAAGGACCAGTGTGTAGGATTTAGTGGCATCTAGCAGTTGGATTGCATAACTGAACACACTCTTATCTTTATTTGATGACTTGCGAATAAGAACGGACTGTAAAGTGTGCGGGAGAAACTACGGTGGCTGTGAAACCTGTGAGAAAATTAGAAATGCCCTAGCTAGTGTTTGGTTTGTCCATTGTGGGCTACTGTAGGAACATGGTGGTTCAACATGGCGGACTCATGGTGGCTCATTCCATGGTAACGATTCCTATTTTCAGGTGATTATGCACTAATTAAAACATACCTATGTATATTATATTCCATTTCTGCCAATAAATCCTCCTCAATGTTTCACACTGGACCTTTAAAATATAGTTATTTTAGTTCTAAGGCTGAAAACTTCTCAACTGACATCTATATCCTCTGTAAGAGAGAAAAATATTCTTTCAGGGAAGAATTTGCAAATATGCCACTGGGCAACACAAACTGTTCCCACTTTGATATTGGATTGTAGCCACTTAAATATTCATAAATTCACCAGCGTTTTACCCCGAAACTCAAAAAGAAAAGTTATGCAAGTTTTACCCATCACATATACATTTGCCCTGAATGGCTTTAAAATCTGCACAGCATATAACACCCTCTGTCCCTAGACCCTCAGTTTGGATGAGAAAAAATCTCCCCAACAAAACTCTTAACATGGAAAACATGGAAGAAACCTCAGGAAGAGGAAGGATCCCTCTCACAGGACGGACAGACTGCAATAGATGCCGTGTGTACAAAATAGACTAACAGTAAAATCACTGTATGGACAGTGAAGATGAAGATTGTAAACATATATGAAGAATATGGATGAGGGAGGATGTCGAGCATCTTCAGGTGTCTCCAAAAAGACCTGAATCACATGACAGAGGACACAAACCCACAAAACTCGAGCTCACCATTCAAACAGAGAGGAGAAAGAACCACACACACACACACACACACACACACAGAGGGAGAGAGAGGAGGACAAAGATCTAGATCCAAAACATCTGGAATGAGGCATCAGCAGCCAGGAGAGAGACAGGTCCCAGGACGGATGCTGGTACAGAACAGAGACATAAAGGAGAGAGAGAGACAGAGAGAGAGAGAGAGAGAGAGAGAGAGGGAGGTAGACACACAGCTGTCTCGTGGGACACAAACAAACACAGGGTTATACAGATGCAGTGATTTTCAGAAAGTAAAGAGAGGACCTGTAGTGTTTGGTGTGTACGAAACAGTGCTATACAAATAAGTTGCAGACTTGTGTTTCTTTCAGTCATTTTAAATGTTGATTGTTCTTATGCATGTTTGTAAAGTTAATTTAAAAACCAAATGTAGTGATGGTAATTATAAATTACTCATTAAACAGCGTATAACCTCTAGAGCTATGTTCTCTATGTAGTTGAGTTCTTACATTATCCCAAATGTTTCCAACAATGTTCAAACTCAGAGAAATCTGTCATTTTATTCAGGTAACGCTGCGTTTCACCGGTCGCCTGTCGATGGCGTCATATCCCCTTTGTGCCTGCGTCAGCGTTGTGGTTGTCTGCCAGAAGCTGTCATACATTGACTGTTGATCCAGCCTGAAGCCACATTGTTACCATCCACTGTTTAGACCTCTGCAGATTATTCAGCTCCTGGTAGAAACCTCCTGATCCCCCCCAACAAAGTAACCTGCAAACGGCAGGCCAGCCCGATCAGCCCTGGGAGTCTGGATGATTCTAGCTGGCTGTACTTTGTCACATTAGCTGACTAATAATTTGTCCACGTTAGCAAGTAAGCTAACCTTAGGCAGCAAAGAAAACACAGGCAACTGAGAAGGTCGGGTCTCATTTTGTAAATCACGTTACAACTCGTTCACACGTTGGAAAAAAGGAATTAATACATAAAAATAATATGTAAAATGCTTCAGAACATTTAAGCTTGGAAGTTCAGAAAACAGAAATTTGACTATTTAATTTCAACTCAAGGTCCTCTCGTTAGCTTTCTGGAACTTTCAACCAGCTGTATCACAGTCTTCATCTGTGAATGCAGTTTACTGAACTGCGGTGGAGTTTTTTAATGTACGAGCTCCGTAGCTGTTATGATCTCATCCACAAAACTTCAATTCTCTTTCACAATACTGTTTTTTTCCCATACTGGGTGACCGTGCACTTTTTTCCTGGTAAGCTGCAGCGTGTCCTGTCCTGTTTACTCCTCTGAACCAGAAGCAGGTCTCCTCCCAACAGCACAGCTTGTGGCCCTGCTCATGCTGCCTTCACTGCACGTGGGAATAACCGGAGGAAGGACTTCACTGTGAGAAGAAACAACAGGCAGAAAATTGATCGTGTCTCTTGTTGAAATGTTTGAATGTATGACGATGGAAAGATTGAAGATGTTAAGCTTTTTGAACACATGCCCTCCTGTGAGTAATACATAAGGAGCTTTGTACTAACACGGTGAATTATATAATAAAAGTTACTTTTTGTTCAGTTTATTTCAGAATGTAGATGTTTCTTATTAGTAATTTCTGAATTTAGGAAAAACCAGGCCACCAAGGTTTCCTTCTTAACAGGGTATTAAACTCTTTTTTGGTATTTACCCCCCAAAAAGTATCTCCAAAAAATAATCACAGAATTATTTTTTTTTGTTTAAATTGTCGAAATTTAAAGACAAAAATAAAAAATGGTGTCAGAGAACAGGACATGTTCTAACCCATTAAATAGTTTTACAGCAGGGCTCCTGATGTGCCTGACAGTTATCATAAAAATCCATATAAAAACAAGACAAACCAGTAAAGATGAAATCACAAAGCAAGTTTATCAGTGTCAAGTTAAAAAAAAGGACTAATAGAAACAAGAAATAAGTAAGACAAAAGTGAGGAAAAGTACTGATACCACACTGTGAAAAAGTCCTGCATTCAAAACCTGACTTAAGTAAAGGTCTTGTCAGTGTTTTACTTTTATATCTGATGGTTTTGGATTAATATTGCTGCATAACTACTGTGTATGTTGCATTTTACTGCTGTAGATGTTTAAGGTTGAGCTTTGAACCACTTTATAGACTGTTGGAAAGTTTAATCTACAGTAATGCATCATATTCTATAAGATCATCATATGTCTGTAGGGTGGGTGTCTTGTAAGAACCAACGTATCTCTAAAAAGTCAAAAACAGCCTGTTTTCAGCTCTGTGAGGCATTTTAAAGCCAATCCAACCTATAAAGAAACACTTCATCCTTCAGTTTATCACAAACATTTAAAATCAATACATCAACTTAACCCTCATCCTACCAACAGGACATACAAGGACTACTGAAACAACCATCATAGCAACTTAATTAATGAACTTGTTTCTTCTCAAAACATTAATAGTTAGGTAAATAATTAACATTAAAGTTCCAGGGTGAAACATTTAAGAAATGGCAGAAATGTAATAAAATATTCATGTGTATGTTTTCATTACCTTAGAAAGAGTCGATTGTATCTATGTTGGGAACCACTTCGTCTAAGAAATAAAGGAAATACATAATACAGACAGAGAATTACATAAAAAGTTTCACAGTTATACATGTATAAAACACAATTTATTATTGTAAAGTTTATTTAATAAATATTAATAAAAAATAAAATTTAAAAAATAAATTTAATATAAGGTAGGTATAGGTAAGGTAAGCTAACGTATTGATAATTTCATCGTTAAACAGTTTTGCTGGCTGAGCCAACAGGCTGACAGTTCTCATAATATTACGACTTTATTCTCGTAATATTACGACTTTATTCACGCAATATTACGAATTTATTCACGCAATATTACAAATTTATTCACGTAATATTACGACTTTATTCAGGCAATAATACGACTTTATTCTCATAATATTACGACTTTATTCACGCAATATTACGACTTTATTCTCGCAATATTACGACTTTATTCACGCAATATTACGACTTTATTCACGCAATATTAAGACTTTTTTCTCGTAATATTACGACTTTATTCTCGCAATATTACGACTTTATTCTCACAATATTAAGACTTTATTCTCGCAATATTATGACTTTATTCTGGTAATATTATGACTTTAATTTCGTAATGTTACAACTTTATTCTCGTAGACCTAATATTATAACTTTATTCTCGCAATATTATGACTTTATTCTGGTAATATTATGACTTTAATTTCGTAATGTTACAACTTTATTCTCGTAGACCTAATATTATAACTTTATTCTCGTAATATTACGACTTTATTCTCGCAATATTACGACTTTAATTTCGTAATATTATGACTTCATTCTCGTAATGTTACAACTTTATTCTCGTAGACCTAATATTATAACTTTATTCTCGTAATATTACGACTTTATTCTCGCAATATTACGACTTTAATTTCGTAATATTACGACTTTATTCTCGTAATGTTACAACTTTATTCTCGTAGACCTAATATTATAACTTTATTCTCGTAATATTACGACTTTATTCTTGCAATATTACGACTTTATTCTCGCAATATTAAGACTTTATTCACGCAATTTTAAGACTTTTTTCTCATAATATTACGACTTTATTTTCGTAATGTTACAACTTTATTCTCGTAGACCTAATATTATAACTTTATTCTCGTAATATTACGACTTTATTCTCACAATATTACGACTTTAATTTGGTAATATTACGACTTTATTCTCGCAATATTATGACTTTAATTTCGTAATATTACGACTTTATTCTCGCAATATTATAACTTTATTCTGGTAATATTACGACTTTAATTTCGTAATATTACGACTTTATTCTCGCAATATTATGACTTTATTCTGGTAATATTATGACTTTAATTTCGTAATGTTACAACTTTATTCTCGTAGACCTAATATTATGACTTTATTCTGGTAATGTTATGACTTTATTCTGGTAATGTTATGACTTTATTCTGGTAATGTTATGACTTTATTCTCGTAATATTACGACTTTATTCTCGCAATATTACGACTTTAATTTCACAATATTAAGACTTTTTTCTTGTAATGTTATGACTTTATTCTGGTAATATTATAACTTTATTCTCATAATATTATGACTTTATTCTGGTAATATTGTGACTTTATTCTGGTAATATTGTGACTTTATTCTGGTAATATTATGACTTTATTCTGGTAATGTTATGACTTTATTCTGGTAATATTGTGACTTTATTCTCGTAATTTCCCCAAAAAGTAACTATATTTTTCTCTTAGTCTGGCCCTAATACTCGCAGTCGCAGTTCTCGGCTTCCGTCCAACGACAGAAAAGGGGTCCCGTTAAAAAGCACGGCTCCTGGAGTTGTCACATTTCCCGACCGCCCAGTGCGCCCTGAAGGCAGCGCGGCGCTCCGCTGCCATATTGTTGTTGTATTTGCGGGGCAGAGTTTCCAGCTGCTGTCTGCGGGTCTGCGGGTCTGCGGGTCTCTGAGGGGGGGAGCCACTGCGTTACTCACATTACCTGGAATACAACGGAGCTTCCAGCCACTGCTGCAGTTATCGGACAGCGACAGGAGCCGTCGGGTCAGTGACTTTTAATGCTTTTAAAGTTGCTTCCAGGTTGATGGTCTGTCTAGCTTAAAGCTCGCTGCTACTTTTTCCCATTCATGCTAACAGACGCTAGCTGGTTAACTGAGTTGGGAAGCTGTCTGTCCTCTCTCCTGAAGTCGTGGGGGGTGAGGGTGGAGGGTGGAGGGGGGGAGGTAAACGGACAAACTGTGCGGTTGTGTGTCGTGTCAAAGACGAGCAGGTGGAGTCGAGTTAGCTTAGCTTTCGGCACAAGTAGCAACAGATGAGCTTTTGGAAGCTAACTCGGGTAGCTAGCTGGCTAACGCTGACACCAGTTGGCCAAAAGTTGGGCGATGACTTGAAAAAGTCCCTGAGGAAACTTTAAAGTGGCTCAACAAGTGTGAATATAAAGAGAGACCTGAGCCGATGGAGGCTGGACGTGCCCGCTCCTGTGTTGGCTCGTTTTAAGCCTGTGGGATGAAGTCATTGTGCTTTTATTTATTATTTGAAGGCAGGTCAGCACACACTGGAAACTCCATTTATAAAGTGTGTCACAGTTTAATCCGAACAAAGTCTGTGCTGTTCACACTACAAGATCTGTCCCCGAGAGTCTGACTGCTCTCCAAACCTTATTATATATATACTTCATTAGGAAAGGAGTTTAAAAACAACATTTACACTGTTAGAAACTGAGTGAAATGAGCTTAAATGAACACATTATTAAACCATTAATCAGTCTAATAACTACAGACCCTCAGTGTCAGACAACATTTTACTTTTTACAGTGACAAAGCGTTAAAAATTATAACATAATATCAGTTTAAATTCTCTGAACCAAACTCCCTTTAAGAAATATCACATTTTAACAATTTTTAAGAAGTCCGTTAAAACCCGTAACTCTAGAAACACGAGCCAAAGGCCGTCGAATGTCCACAGTCTGACTGTCAATACAGGATCAATATCATCCGTAAAGATACAGTGTATACTGATCAATATCATCCATAAAGATACAGTGTATTTGATCTTATCCATAAAGATCATGTATATCATCCATAAAGATACAGTTTATTCTGATCAATATCCTCCATACAGATACAGTTTATTCTGATCAATATCCTCCATACAGATACAGTGTATTCTGATCAATAATCAATAAAGATACAGTGTATTCTGATCAATAATCAATAAAGATACAGTGTATTCTGATCAATAATCAATAAAGATACAGTGTATTCTGATCAATAATCAATAAAGATACAGTGTATTGTGTACAAACTTTACATTTCATCCTCTTCCAGTGGGAGCAGACTGTGGGAATGAGAGGCGGACAGTTACAGTAATTATGGTTTCTCACTATAATAAGTGCTGCTCGGTGGATCAGACACAGTCCGAATTAAAACCCCGACTCACAGCACCGTTTTATTCACGGTCCATTATGTGTGTGTCCCAAAAATAGTAGAAAATCGGAGCTAAAAATCAGGTAGTGGGAGCTCGGCATTGCATAAGTTAGCCTGATGTATGATTAATAAGTGCTTTTTCCAGAGAAGTGCACCGTTTACAACCTGTCTGGGTTTCACCACACCCACCAGCACCCTCACTGCACAGGCTATCGCTCATCGTCAGACGTCCCCCGACTGGTGAAACAGCCATGTGGAAGTGAATGTGTGATCCTGACTGCTGGTGAAACTCTCTCTACCACAAGAAAGGGGAAGTTCGCCTCGTCTTGCCTCTGCTGGGTGTCGGGTCTGCAGCGGCGGTTCACGTGCTCTAAAGGTTTTCAGTGGACTTCTCTCGTGAACTGGTGTTTATTCACATGTAGTCTGACCCTTTGGTGGTAGTAAGCGTATTATCCGCTTGCACCCAATAACATGCATCTTAGTGTGAGAAAGGAATTCCTAACCCTTTGCACAGTTCGTAGATCTGTTGCTTTTACTTTGAAATCATTCACAGCTTCAACTAATGCTCATTTTCATTGTCTGGTGGTTGTTTTTTCAATTAACTTATTCATTGTTTAGTCTATTAAACATCAGGAAATGCCTATAGCAATTACAATCTTCATATATTATAGTATATTACGCTTTACAGGAACTTTAAAGAGCAAAAAAAGCTGCTTAGCTTCATATTTTGAGAAACCAAATCTTCACTCTTTACCATTTATTTTATTTTACATGAGACAATTCCTGCTTTTTTACAGATACCATTGCAAATGTTAACTGTGGTTCTTACCATCAATAAAGAAACGATCACACATTGATTGGAAATAAGAATGTAAGGCGATACAGACGATGTGAATATCAGTTTCACTTTTATAAAGAAAATACTTTATACATTGTTTTACTTTATACCCTACCTAAAATAAAAAAATGATTCTATAATTTTGCAGATTTTTCTCTAAGAAATAAAGCAATCTTTTATAATTATCATCATTTATTTATAGTTTTTAAAAAATATCATAAACCCAGTACTGAATCATGAGTTGAGTGTAAGTTCCATCCCTATTGAAAAGAACTGTTACTTTCTGCTGTAGATGAAATTACTCATCAGTGAACCGAATGTGTAAGGAAACATTACAGCCTGTGTGCGGTGAGGACTTCTGAGCAGAGGAGAAAGTGTGAAGAGCGGGAGAGTTTCACAGGCTGAAACTGGAGCTTCATGATCTACTTTATGGCGACAGGAGCCCGGTTTGATTAATTACTTATTACGGCAGCAAGGTGGAAGTAAAGTAGACACACTAAAAACACCTTTAAAACATCTCGCTCGTGTTATAAATATATAAACTCAGAGTTCACTGATAGACGTATGGAAACAACAACCACTTATGATGTTTGTTGCTTTGTGTTCGATAAAGTCTCGGTTGTGTTTCGATTGTTAGACAGGAAGAGGTTGAGATAAGATGTGGGTAGAAAATGCATTTTGATCAGACGTTGTCATTTGGTAGCAGAAGTGTCTGGGATAGTTTTCAGGTTGGGTCAAACATGATGGGTCTTCTAACGACTGCACTCAGACAGATTTCCAGTGACCAGCTGGGGATGCTGGGAGTTTCTGTTAAGTTGGTATGTCAGGCGTTCAGTGTTGAAGCTTTTACATGCGTGGCTCAGAGAGTCTATAACAGGATGCCAGATCAGATCTGTATGATAATGAGACTGTAACACAACCCTGTTCACATTTTATGGGGTCTTTATGGGGGAAACACAGCTTCCTGCCAGTTGAAAATATTAATTGTGCGACCCTAAGTGTGACATTGTGTTACTGTGCTATATGAAGTTTATAGGAGTAATATTACAAGTTACCAGTGACTGGTGACTGTATTTATTTATATGCAGTGAGTGCAGCAGGGCAGAGGATGAGCTGATAGAGAAGGAAGCTGAAACAAACCTGTAATTTCAAAATAAGGTGAAGTGTCAGGTAGATGTTTGAACTTAAAATCAGACCTGATGATAAAATTCAACACTGTTCAGAACATAGCCAAAGATGAGCTACCTTTTTACTAAATAAAGTCCCAGATCATCATTATGAAAAAGTGATTTCAATGTGAAACGTTGCACCGATACTGTGTGCACCGAAATGGTTCTGAAATTTAAGACAGTGCCATCAATGTAAAAAGCTGATCTGGAGTAAGAGTTGTGTTTCTCCTGGTGTCTCAAAAGGAGAAAAGTGTGGTTTCTTAAGTGTCATGCGGACAGCAGCAGGTCTTTCCGGGTATTCCTCCACTTTAGTTCCTCAGAGGACTGAAAGCAGGAGGTTGGCACTTAGTTGTTCGTGTCTGGGCGGGCGGGGGGGGAATTACCATCAGCTTAGTCAGATTTAAATGAAAAACCGACAGGGAACCTCTGGTTATTGACTCCCAGGAAAGGAAACTGTCACTTTCCATTTCCAGCCCCCGACCAGAGTGACTGGTATATTTATTGAGAGACTAATCAGCTGTTGGACGAAGGCTGCGAGTTTCCTACGGGCACGTCAGTCAGCAGCAGTGTCTTCTTCCTCTTTGTGTCTCTTTGACAGGGTAAAACTAGTTCTGCCAGAGCTAAGGAGGGCGAGGCCGAGGGACGTTAATTTCCTGACAGGTAATCACCCTCTGCCTCCACCTCCACCTCCACCTCCCGCCCCGTTCACTTCACTGCAGGACCAGGATGTCTGGTCTCTATGTAATCCGACACCCAGCGCATAATCCAGTATGCCTCTGTTTATAAATGGATGCAGATTAGAAGCATGAGCCGAGGCATTTCCTCTGTGACACGTCAAGTAGTTCACAGGTAAACAAACAGATTACCTGGGAATAGGGAGTGCTTGATTTGATGCACTATGAGCCGGGGGATGAGTATTTATTAGGATTTTATTGAAACTGGCACTGCTTATTAACATAGATACATATCGGAGTAACGCTGAACAAGCTGTTTTTTTCACTAGCTCTGTATTAAATAAACAATCAGTGTTACTGCTCTGTAGCAATTTAAGGTCCTTGCTACCCATCCTTACATGCCAGCCTTTCACAGATAAACTTGTTGTTCATTACAGCTGGAAAAAGTTTATAGAAGATTTAAGTTTTGATTGAATTTGATTGTAGTTGCTTTGAATATTATTTTGATTATGAATTGATTTTTAATTCACCAACAGGATATCTACCAGATAGATAGGTCAGTAAAGTAACCTAATAAGGACAGTAGTGTGTACAGTACATCTACTTTCAACATGTAAACTTCTCATTTTCATATCTGGCCACAGTCAACCATTACTCAACTCACTCTCAACTCACTTCTCTATTTTGTCATGTGGCTCTCGTGGAGCATTTTTAAGCTTCTGTCAATGGAGTTTGTCTCCTCTCTGCCCACGAGCAGGTTTCAAACACTTCAAACACACTCTGCACACACTCACACCTGGAAGATGCCCAGTACGACCACAGGGTAATCCACAGGCCACAGGGCTTACTGCTGTTGTGGAATCCAAACCAGTAACCTTACAATCACAAACCGACCAGTCTATGAGCATGCTCGCAAAACCCCAAAAACCGTACTGCC